GGATCACTTTATAAGATCATACTCTTAAGAATAGTACGGCTTTGATGTCTGGCTTATGTAGCTGTTACTTTAAACAACCAGGCTAAAATAATTTATCTCTGCTGCATGCTCTGTGAGAAGTTGCCACTAAAAAGAATCCAGGACATTTTTCCTTCTTATCTGCAGTGTAGCTGGTATCAGCCAAGCTGTCACAAGACAGTGCTTGATATAAACAAGAGATTGCAAAGACATCTCAGTAATCAATATTAGGATGGCTACAGTATGGAAGCCCCAACCACTGCATATCATTTGTCTCAAGCATCTATTTCTATGACCAAATGAAGCATTAATTCAAATCATAAATCTATGGTGATTTAAAACTGGGAATGAGCACCTGCCTGCTTTAATGATTTATTTTGTACATTTCAGTAAGCAGGAGATTTGTCCATATGAACTGACAGGTCACCTTCAGATGCCAGTAGTAGACGGTTTATCACCATGCAGACTAGCATCTCATCTTAGCAAGTAAATATTAAACTAAAAGAATGCTAGCTGATTGTGGAAAGGAGAGAACAGGTATTGCGGCTATATATTTTATTTAAGCCACACTTGGAGCCCTCCGTGTGGATTTCCTGTTTCCCAAAGCTTAAAAGGCTGCAACAAAAATTGGGAAGGTAAGAAAAGTAATAAATGATTAGTTTTTATCGTAGTTTACATCCTTTAGATCATTTTATTTGGTGACTTTTCCCCTGTCCCTGCTATGATCATAGTGATTATGGTTATTTTAGAGTACCTACAGTAAGGGCTGTACCTAAAATAAAGTACTAAAATACTCCAACTTCAGGTTTACCCAAGATCACCCAAGATCAAAGTGGAGAAGGCAGTGCAATTTTAGAATGCCCTGGGTACCCGAGGACAGAGAAATGGCTTCCAGTTTGTGGAATTCTCTCCCCAGGAAGGCTCACCTAGCACCTTCATTATGCATCTTTAGGTGCCAGGAAAAAATGCTCCTCTTCAACCAGGACTTCTATCCCATAATGTGTTTGTGAGGGTTGTGGGTTTGTTTTTGTTCTTATTGTGTATTTTGTGTTTTTATTTTGTGTTTTTATGCTGCGAATTTCCCTGAGATCTTCAGATGAAGGGCAGTATATAAATTTAAATAAATAAACAAACAGATCTCCCACCAGACTTTGCTCCTCCAAGAACTCTCCTTATCTGTTTTTCTTTGTTTTGCTGATGTCTAGAGGAACTGCAACGTGCTCTTCCTCGTTTGCTAAAGAAGTAACATGCTAAACATGTGAATTTGTATGTATGGATAGACTTGAAGCTGTTATGGGTGGTTACTGAACTACGCCACTGTTTCAAAGCATTTTATGTTCAGGGAACACTTTTCACACCGATTTGTCTGCTGTGGAACCCCTGAATGTTCTGAAGGATGCTTGGGCACGTTTGCAGGGGTATGCTCAGACAATGTGGGGTCTCTGGCCAGGCACAGGGAATATTATGTGCCCTACAATACACCAGGAGCACCATCTCGTCCTCAGGATTATGGAGGCCCACCACTGTGACGCGGATGTGCAACGTCACATGCACACACCTGCATGTTGTGCCGCAATTTGTCTCCTCTTCCTCCTCCTTTCCAAAGCCAGCAAGGCACCCTTTTCCATGGGGAGGGGCTTGGACTTGGAGGCAGAGACATGCTGCTTCTGCATCCGCCCCCTCCCAAAGGGTGACGGTGGAGGGCGGAGCTGAACTGCTTCTCTCTTGGAGACAGCGCCACAAAGACTGGCTGGCTGCCTCTCTCTGGCTTTGCTCATTGACTTTGTGGGGTGTTTGGCCCCCGCCACCTCCTGGAGTTGGCTCTTATGCAACAAACCCATCATTCCTGTGTTTGCACAACTACTAATCTCTCCACAAGACCATATACAAATACTGCCATCTGAATACTATGCTCAATGGTTCTAATATAGAGATTCAAGGGTAAAAAAACACCACATTGATATGAACATCAAAATCTAACTGTACTGTAAACAGCGCTTCCAAATAAGCTAGCAATGACATTTGTACAGCTTATTTTAAACCCTGTCCTGTTTTTTTTTTGGGGGGGGGGGGTTGTTCAATGCAGGTGCCATTGACACTGTGCAGAATAATGGTTCCTAGATCTCTCATTGTTTACTGTGACAATGGGTCGTTAAAAGAGTCTCATTGTTAAGCACTGATTGATCTGGTTCTATTATTAGTTTGTATTCTTAGGGCTGCAAGGGGGGTGGGGCAAGCTGTATCATGGTGACAGAAACATCCTCATCCCAGAAGTTCCAAGCAGAAGCAAAAAAAAAAAAGTGCAAGCCGATCCGAGAAGAGTGATGGATGTGGATTAAGCATACAGTGTGTTTGGGTTTTAATACGTCTGATGCATGAGAAGGTGGACTGGGCAGGCTCCAAATCTATTGCACAGTTGACAAAAGGAAGTGCAGCGTAGAGGCAAAGGCCAGGTACTATCAAAAATACTGTTCTGTTGTACATTACAAATGGAAAAATATGTGGAGGCAGAGATGTATAGGAACATGCTTACAGACTATCGGGTTGTTCCATATGCTGCATTCGTCTCAGACCTGGATTCACGATGCAACACAGAGGCAGACAATATTTTGGCTGGAAACATTTGTTGTCACCAGGACCCACCCACCTTTCTCCTCCAGGCGGCAAGGTATTCTGATGCTCGGAAGGGCAGCACCATCTCAGGGTGGAAATCCCCGGCTACTCTTTCGAGCTCTAAGCTTGGAGCTGGTGGAATAGGAGAAATCAACCCCCTCCCCAAAACAGCTCAGAGCCAGTGGGGCAGAGGCCTGATGTGCAACTTGGTCACATAGACCAGGAGGCTGGCCGGCCTGGGCTCCCAAGAGGTGTTCTGGGTTCACAACGCCCCTTGAGTGCGGAGGGCACCCCACACATTTCTAAACATTCATCTCCAGCTTCATGCTGAAGGGACGAGGTGGAAGCACATCCGATTGTCCCAGCTTGTAGTTCCAGGTTCAGGATCATTTAGCTAACCAGAACCCAGAACCAAAGCGAGGATAAGTGAGATTATGGATCCCTAATCCAATATCATCATTCTTCTGACCTCATCCTGGGCTATTTAGACCAAGGTTATTAACAAAACTCTGTTCATTGTGCCTCAGACCCAGATTTATAGGGACAAAAATGCATGGAACTTTAAACACCAGTACCAAAGTATCAGCCACACTTACACATGTATATGTGTGTCTGTGTGATAACTAATTCAGAAAAATAAAGGCAAGTCCAGAGAAAATGAAGGAAATTGAGACTTGCAGAAAGGATGCTGGAGTTTTAGTCCCATTCTTAAAAGTATTAGGAATCGTCAACCAATTCTTTTTGAGCAATTGCCTGCCTTTTAAATGAATTATCACTTAATTAAATGGCCATATTTATGTATTACAAAACCCTCAACATGGATGTCTTTTTGAGATATGAAAGAAAGTATAAGAGAGCTTAACATTTAATCAAAATACTATGCACTGCTGGCAAGAAATGGCACCCTCAATAATGCCTTTTATATTTCCTACTAGAATCTAAATAGCCTCAAAAAGTAAGCAAGCCCCACCAAACCTGTCATTTTGAACAAGTCATTTTACTTTTGTCAAGCTACATGTTAAAAAATAGAAGACGTTCTTCATACCTCGCCTTTTCTCAATTGCTTAAAGGCAGCATCTACCCGTTCTTCCCCTTTAAAAAATATATGGCGTGTACTGTGCTTCTTGCAACCAATCCCTGCTCATTTCATTCAGCCAAGAATACTATTCTTGTTTCTTTGCCGTGTGTTTTCCCTGCCCCACCCACCAGCACATACCCTCCTTTGAAACCAGTTTTAGTGGCGACCATTAAACTTCTGTGTTCCTATCTATCTTAGCCATTCCCGAAACAGTTTTCCTAAGTGTACCTGTAGCTCCTCAACCCCCCGGCCCACCCCACCCCCCGGTTGCTGAAACATTAACAGAAAAAGGAAGGGAAAACTGGCCTCGGAATCTGCTGACATGTGCACATTTGTTCCTTTTGTTCTTGGGCATGGGTTAAATAATAAATATGTACAGGAAGATTCAGAACAAAAAAGTTGTCAAGTTGTCATCCTTAAGAATAACCTCAAAAATTTGCAGAATACAAAAAGAGGAATATATTAGATTGTCATGTCTGCTTTATGTCTACGCGACCTCTGCCATGTACAATGGTTAACAGCACTAAAACTCCGCTTTCAGTTCACTTACTTACATTTATCTCAGAGAGCAGAAGGGAGCCATTACAATGGAATGACCTTAAAAGCTACCAAAATTTTAAGTATATTTTAGCAAAGGAAATTTACGACATGTGTAAACACATCATGTTAACCCTGCATCTTATTAGACAGAGAGTCGTGCTAATGGTTCCAAATATTTAACATATGGTGGGGGCAGAAGAAGTTATCATTTAGGAATTTATCCATGAAAATTCAATACACAGTGGGTTGGATCCAGACTTAGTCAAGCTTAGGTCCACTCTGGGGATGCCTACATCTGGATCCAACCCAGTATTTCCAAACTTTGTTTAATGTGTTCGTTATTTCTCTTTCAGCACTTGTAATGGAAGACTGGAATACCCACCAGACTGTGCAGCCTAATGCCTGCATGTCATTGGTCCAGTTGAATTCATCAAGACCAAAACAACCTTGCACACAATATTTCTCTACTTAACTTGGCTGGGATTGGGCTGTTGAGTGTTTACTTCCGGTAGGACAGTGGGATACTGTGATATTTTTCTGCTTCATATAACCCTACCTACCTAGATTTTAACAATGAAAAGTCACCATCCAAATGTTTTTCTTTTAAATAATATAATAACGGGTCAGCAAAGAACCACATGCAAAAGTAATATTCTTACAATAGTAGCAAAAACAAATAATGCAAGAATCAGTATTGTTATCTATTATGGTATTACTTATATAAGAATTCTATTTTAGATCGGAAACTTACCCACACTAGAATTCAGATCCCCATTCTCAGACTCTGCTCCGTGCTGATTATTACTGGCATGATAGTTCGACATAGCTTCTAATTTAATTTTTTTCACCTTCATTGCTTCTGCAATGGCTGCATTGGTGGCAGCGGCTGCTGCAGCAGCTGCAGCTGTCAGACCTAAAAAGAGACAGGAATGGAACTAAATTAACTTCTACCAACTTTCCATTGAAATTGATACTCTTCTCGCATCATCTGCCACCAAAAGGAATTGACTAAGTTACTAAGAAGAAAATTCAGCAATACACAATTTGGTGTGCGACATTTTCTTCCAAATTTGTTTACAATACCAAATTCTCGACGAAGGCATGAGCTTTAAAAAGAAGAAGTCAGCTGTCCAAAATGTAACCAAATAAACTTAAAAGTCCAGAAGATTGCAAGCTGGGAATGGTTTTTCTGTCAAGTCCTGTTAGTAAAGCTGTCAAACTTGTGTTTTTATCCACTCAGTGGTGGATGTAAGCTTTGGCTCATTACCTTAAGAGAGTGCATGCTAGTTCTAAACCAAGAAATACAGTAAGAATTCTGATTTTGTTCTCAGGCACAAGACACGTTACGAAAATAAATTTGATTCTGTAACTTGTGCACAAACCAAGTTATTTGCTTGGGCTATACCTGTCTCCAATACCACTTTCTTATTTATGCTTCATTGCAACCTTTAAGTGCACCTTTTTCAATGCTGCCACCCGTTCACTAACAGCAGGGTCCCTAAAGTAAGTGTTTTTGGTGGTTTTTCCTCATTTGTATCATACTCTTCCTCTAAATCTCTGCCAATAACAAAAACTAAATTACCACTGTAAGACAGTTTTGGCCATCTCTTTATGGCTATAGTAACACAAGTGTGGAGAAATGTCTATGTTGTGCCTAGGATCCAAAGTGTCTTCTACTCTTTGAGTGGAAAGTTCTTCTGCTACTAACTCATAAGATTGCCATTTTCTCATTCCAAATGTAGCCCTTCAGATCACACTGAAGCCCACTCTGGAGACCCCCAACTATTAAGAGCTGATTTTCAGGCACTGCGTACTGTACGGTGAGGAAGAATTAGAAAGGAAGGCCCTGCACAAACATGTCCTGGAGCCCAAGAACTCCCGCTCTGAGTTAGAGGTTAATGGAAAAGGTGCTTCTGTTTGTCACTGAGACTCAAAGATACAGCATGATGCCAGAGGCAACATTTTGGTTGGCCACCAATGCCACTCATAATGTGTTGAACCCTGTACGTAACATATAGTCAGAGCAGTTTGTAACACAGCCCAGTCCACAACTGTGTTGCACCACAAAGCAAGAGGAGGATGTACTGCTAGCCTATACATCTGGCATATCCGAGCCAATTCAGAGATCCATAAACCATATGGCCCACTAATCATTTGCCGTCCTGTGACACTAATGCGGCTGGCAGGTGTGGCTTCGATAGTCAGAAGATACAGGACTGCAGCACTTGTAGTGTGGAACTGAAGCGAAGGAACTCTAACTAGCCCAACCAGTTGCAAAGCTTCTGGATTTGGAATAGAGGAGTTCTATAAAAGCACACCAGCATGGAACAAAAGGCAAGTTGTGGATTGTGCACTAGGTAATCATTACCCCGGTTTTTATTCAAACTCATATTGTGTTTTTCATGTTCTCTCTAGGTCATTTGGATAAGTGCTGCTTGCCATTAATTAAATTAGATGGAAAAATCAATATATGAAAACAATTTTAAGATAAGCCCAATAACTACTCTGAATTTTTCAAAAAGTATTTCTTCTTTTCTCCTAGCATTTGTTCCAAAGAATTGTAAACAAGTGTGTAAAAAAAGAGAGAGAGAAGTCAGCCTATTACAGTTGCAGGCAGCAGTTATCATTAATATTCCGAAATTGATAAGCTGTTTATGTCTGGCATTCTTCCTGCTGATTATTCAGTGAGACAGGCCACTTTATAAATATCTCATCACTCCAGCGTCACACAAATTTCATCGACAGTGCTCCTGCACAGCTATTAGCAATATGAATCTAACCATTACAAGAGGGAGGAAAAATCGAACATGTGGCATTAATACGCAGTCCTGGTTCCTAACCATCTGATAGGCAGATGGCGTAAAGTGGATTCTCCAGCTGAAATGAAGGGGCACATCATTTAAAACCTTGTTTGCATTCTAACTGATATCAGTGCCATATTGATATACATGATACATCATGGCAGTATTTGAACAATCTAGTTTGTTTCAGTCATAAATGTTTACAGCCTTGTTTTTTATCTTTAGAAGCATGTTCTGAAGCGCGTATTTTTAATTTATGAAATCTATTGTTTACTTCTGTGGAACCAGGAGATTAGCAAGACGCAGGAATGTGAAATTTCCGCAACCACCACAGAAGGATGAATAAAGTACAGGGCGATGTGCTTTTCCCCCCCCCCTTTAATAAAGAACGTTAGTAGAGGAATTAAAAAATTAGCTGAGGCATTTTATGCATTAAATGCATTTATTCATTAAACCTCCCAGCTTTTCCCCCCATGTGACATACTTAGAAGTTTAATGCTTTAACACAGCTATTCATTTAAAGCTCTCACTGTGTACAATTAATCTTGTCCAACAATTTAATTCAAAAAGCAAAACATCAAAAAGTAAAGTTCAATTCAACAATCGTGGTTCTGAAGTAATCTTCCCTACTGCTGACAGTTCCTATAGACTCGCTGGGAAAAGTCTGTTCAAGGTGTCTTGTAAGAGAAGGGTGAGCCTGAATTATAACTCAATTCAAAGCTCTTCAAGTCTTAGCAGAAACTCAGCTCTTAACCTCTGAAAACCTAAAGAAACACACACTGAATGAGCTCTTCTAACAAATCCCCTTCTTCACCACAGTGCTATCCAGCAGAACAATTTTCTCTTCCCTCACACATCTAGGAAGGCTCAGTGCTGAGATTCTAATTTACCAAGTTTGAAAAGGGATCATGTTCGGTTTTCTTTAATATTTTGTTTTGGCGACTAAAGTTCACTTCCAACAAAAATCTCCAGAAACAAAGATAATGCCTTTCTGAAGAATGCATCTGTGGGAATGTCTCCTCCCCAATGAATCTCTTCGAAGTAAGTATGTAATCTATGATTCTATGTATAGGGCTCAGGGAAAGCCATTCTCAGTGATGATGCCACAGTCTGCAGTCAGCCACCTAGGGCAGTGTTTTTCAATGAGATGTTCAATGAGTGTTTTTCAAGAGATGTTGCCTGGTGTGCCGTGGGGAAAATTGAAAAATTCGAAAGATTTTTTTTTAAAAAAGTCACATTTTCGCCCACTAGGCGGGCGCCGGACTGTGTCCACCCTATTTTCCATCCGTCCTGGGTGGGGATCAGATCGGATGGGATCGGATGAGATCGGACAGGCGGTCCTCTCTCATCCGATTCCCCATAGAGAGCAGCGGGGCTCTGACATCTCCCTCTCCGCGCACAGTGGTGGTGTGCCTCGTGATTTTTTTCATGAAACAAGTGTGCCTTTGCCCAAAAAAGGTTGAAAAACACTGACCTAGGGAGCCCTGTCAAGCCACATCCTTAATGACGCTGAAGGTGAAGGGTGAAAATCGTGGTGGTGGTAGTGGTTAAATTCCACTGCTACTTTTTGAACTATTTCTGTTGCTTTCACTGTTATAGTCCAGCCCATCTGCTTAAACTGTTCTGATTTACTAGGAACAGGCTGTTTTCTGATAGCTGTCACTAATCTTTAGGATACAGGTGCTTCACTAACATTTCTAAAGTGAATGTAACATGTAGTTAGGACAAGTGGACTAAATAAAGAGTACTTAAAACCGCCTGTGAGATAGCTGGTCACAGAACTAGCGAATATAATATTGGAAGTGGAGTAAAGATGATACTGATGAGTAATAGCGAAAGGGGTGGGTGGGGTGTTTTCTTTAAAATGAAAATGCGAATCACAAGAACATCCCTACTTTGCAGGGAGGGGTGAACTGTTGGAAAGTGTAGTTTGCTGGTTTCATCTCTTCCGATTATTGTAATTTGCGCATGGTTGAAGCAAAATCGAAAACTTTTCGTCTGGATGCTATAGACTCCCCTGTGCAAAGAAATGAATTTTTCCTGGGGATACCCAGCCAGATGGGCAGGGTTTAAATAATAATAAGTAGTAGTAGTAGTAGTAGTTACTAAATGTATGGAACTGCTCAATGATTGCCAGATATTCATTGAGGAAATCCAGCCTCTTTAAAAGCCCCAAAGCAGCTAAAGAATATCTAGTATTTTTCAACCCTGTTCCTTCGTCAGATGCTTTACCTAATTTTCTGCCCCACCTGCTGCAGCAAGTAGTTTTAATTTTGTCTCGCAGCAGGCAGGGCAGAAGAATGGGCACAGGGCTAAGGGATGGCTAGGCATGAGAATGCCAATTTGGGGGTAGGAGGTGGGATAAAAGCCAATATAACTCACCAAACAATTACTGCAGCAATTGCATCCACTATAACCAGAGTTTTTAAAGGACAGAGTCAGCTCGTCAGGTTGCTACTTGGTAATTTAGTCATGGTGCATAGCAACAAGTCCAATTGATTTTGATGTCACTTACTTCAAATAACAGTATTATTTCACAATTCAAATAGAACTAATTCTTTTTTTTTCTTTGAAAAACCCTTCTAGAGACCTCATATTCAACTCAGGATCCATGTAGTCCCTGTGTAATGACCATCTAAATAGGCCATAGAAGACAAAATAATTTTGCTTTCGAAAGCAGATGATGACCCATACGTATCTATGTGTGTTTCAGCAGAAAGTTGTATGCAATACAGAAAAAATAAAAAACCCATGCAATTTCAACATGACTAACTTCCTTTGGATTGAAGTTGATAGGTTTAAAATATTTTTAAAACAATTTGCTTTGCTTTCAAATCAATATTAAGATAAATTCACTTTCATGGAAATTAATAACTTATACTTCCATTTTTAAAAGTATGTAAACCTCTTAAAGATTAAGAACATTTTTCTTCCCATAGTCAAATTTGCTTAGGCTGAAATCTTATGCATATTTCCGTAGCCCCAAGGAATTCAGTATAAGTAACTTCTGAGTACACCTACATAGGGTTGCATAGTAAAATTTGAGGATGTCCTCAAAGTTGTTGAGCTTCTCTGAGCTGTTTCCACTGCTTTTTCCATCGCACTGCCATACGTCCCATTTCCCCAGCACCATTTTTACACCCGAAAACCAGGACATGTCAGGAATTTTCATGACATTTGGCAAGCCTAGGATTGCACCGTCAGTATATTTATCCATTTGCATGATTTACTTGACTGCTCTTCATCAAAACAACCTACGGCTGTTTATAGTACATCATGAAACAATAAAATACAACCATACCATTATAATAATGGATCTCAAACTTTTTCCCATTGACCACTTTAAAATTGCTTATGGTCATGGTGAACCACTTAAGTGTTACTTTTACCTGTTGTAATGTGGTGTGCTAGATGCTGTATGATTTTTTTATTGCATCTTTATTGCTTCTTTTATTTCTTAGATTGTATATTATTGTTACAATTTGCATTCTCATGGAAAGCAAATCGTCATACAATAAAATACAATATAAGAAATAAAAGAAGCGATAAAAGTGCAATTAGTGTGGACATACCAGACCATGTGAATGAAGCTCATAGAACACAATTTAGGAAGCCCTGCATTACAATCAATAAAACATTAAAATCAAAATTTACATACCATACTAACAGTCCAGCAGCAAGTAAATTAATATAAATAGCCTAGCACAAGCATCAAGCTGTCCCAAAGGCCTGAGTAAATAGATTACTCTTTAGCAAATGATGGCAACTCAGCATCAGTGATTTTCAACTCACTTCCAAGGGCAGAGGGTTCCACAAGCAAAGCACCACCACAAAGAAGGCCCTACCCCGTCAATTACATGAGTTAATCCATTCAATATATACCGTATTTTTTGCACCATAACACTCACTTTTTTCCTCCTAGAAAGTAAGGGGAAATGTCTGTGCGTGTTATGGAGGGAATGCCTACGGGTGGGGGGGGATCTGCTGCAGTCGTGAGCAGAGGATCCATGGTTCCCCTTCCTTCCCTCCTCCGTGGCTCACTTTGAAACATCAAAGCGGGAGAAGAGTCGCTGAGTGGGGAGGAGAGAGGGACAGAGAGCCTGCTTGCTTTAAAGGAGCAAAGCGGGAGAGGAGAGGAGCCTTCTCCCCTTAAACCCCTCTTCTGCATTATTAGCAGCATCCTTCTCCACACACCCCACGCGTGCTCCTTGTCCCTTGAGTGCTTTTCCTTCCCTCCCCACTTAAAACGTGGTTACAAAGCACGGATCCACATGGATCCTCAGGATTTTTGCACTGGGTCACCCCAAATTCACCATCAGATCACATGTCTGTGGCCACAGCATGAACCACAAAAATCATACACCCACTGTTTCATTTAGAATTTTTTTTCTTGTTTTCCTCCTCTAAAAACTACGTGCGTGTTATGGTCAGGTGCGTGTTATAGAGCGAAAAATACGGTACTTTGCAAATCCCAAATTTCTCTCTATCCAATATGCTACCCTTAAGGCCTTTCTATTAATTACATCCTATTGATTGTCACAGTGGTTCATGATGAGATGTTCTTACACTGATCTTCTGTTGTAGGGATGCTTATTTGCCGCTCCTGGGTTTCTTTTGTAGCATCCCTGCTTTTTTAAAATCTCATGCTGTAATCTTATGTACACTTTCTTGGTACTAAGGGCTATTGGACTCAGTGGGCATGCTTCTGAATAAAAGCACAGAATTACGGTGCTAGGCTGCAATCCTAAAGGTAATTATGAAGTAAGAAAACAGCACTGAAAATCAATGGCACTCATTTTCACTTTTTTATTTTAAAAAGTCTAAAGGAGCATATCCAATTGCTTAAAATAACAAAACACCTACTACATATTTTCAGCAGGATCTTGTTTTCTGATTAGATTCAATGGAGTTTACTAAGTTTACTCAGATTTTAACTACATATAATATACAGAAACAACCAAATAAAAGACTACATTTTCTATGAAGAGTCTGAAATATTGCAGATGTGCGTACAGAATCAAAACAATTCAATTAAGAGTGTAGATTTCTTTTTAACAGTCATCTCTTCAAAAGCAATAGATTTTCAGTCCTCATTCAGTCTGTTGCATTATTCATTTCATGTGCAACCTCAAGCTGGACCATAAATTGTTACTTTATCTAATCAAAGGCGACTTAACTCTACAGAAGGTCAAAGGTTTAATTTTGTGAAGTATTATCTTACGCTATGAGTTTAACCGAAAAATAGAAGAAGAAAAACAGCCAAGAAACTGGTAATAAATGAACCTTTATAGCCTCAGGCATTGGTCTAGTTAATAAAGTTTCATTGAAGGTTTCTTTCAACTGTTACGGACAAGAAGGTTAAAAAAAAAAACTTAAATTACAGCCATGTGTGACTTTTAAGACAGGAATTCTTTTTTATCTGAACCTCCCCAGCCTAGAAGTAGGACAAAGAAATTATCTTCAATTTCTTAACCAAAAATGCATGCTTTTAAAAAGATAAAAAAGCACAGATATATCTTTAAAATAAAATATAAAAAAACCAGCAAAGGTCAACTTTTGAAAGAGAGAAATGCTACTTGCTGACAATGAATCTTGTGTACCGATCTTTTCAAGCCACGTTTCCTTAAAATGTGTAGGGATGCATTTACCAATCTGTATGGAGACAAAGAACTGGATCACTTCCAAAAGGGAAGGCTTAGGGTGATTTTGTCCATGTTTCCTTGAATTCATTGGGACTTAATTCCAAATAAGTTTGCACAGGGTATCAGATAGGGGAAATGCCATTTTGCCTTCATCAAGTCTTCTTCTGAATAAGCATTTATTTCTGGGATTTGTATGTCACACTGTAATATAAAAGTTCTCTGGCGGCTTACATCCCAGAATAACATGCAAACCTCGTCCATGTGCATCAAAACATGTCAGCACCTTGAATTTAGCTTTCAATACGAGGCCTTGTTCAAGGTATAGTAAAAATAATTTAGTCATAAATGTGGATAGTTCCTTGGGGATTATATAACACCTACCAGTAGCAGAGCAGCTGTACATATGTGCGAGTCCATAAGCATCTAAAAGACAAACTCCAAAGAATGGTGAACATCATCATGACCTGCTCACTACTGCATGCACAGGAACATATTCTCTATCTAGTGCTACAGTTTGTTTGTTTGTTTTGTTTGTTTATGTTGATGTCAAACCTTAATGGACTTTCCTTTTTTGGCACACTTTCCAGAGTTTCAACTTTTCTTTCTAATGCATGGACAGGCTATTATTATTATTATTATTATTATTATTATTATTATTATTATCTGACAAAACTTAAGGCATCATACATATAAAAATAACAACTGCTAAAAACATGGGGGGAAATGCTCATTAAAGACCAATTAAACATTGACAGAATTAAAGCTATCTAAAACTATGCACAGTTTTAAAAGAGCTTTGGACAAAGGTGGGGGATCTCCTTCCTTGGAGATTTTGAAACAGGTGGCCATCTGCCAGAGATGCTTTAGCCGTGATTGTTGTATTGCAGGGTGTTGGACTACAAGACCCTTGGGGTCCCTTCCAACTCTGCAATTCTATATAAAGGTAAAGGGACCCCTGACCATTTGGTCCAGTCCTGGGCGACTCTGGGGTTGCGGCGCTCATCTCAATTTACTGGCCAAGGGAGCCGGCGTACAGCTTCCGGGTCATGTGGCCAGCATGACTAAGCTGCTTCTGGCGAACCAGAGCAGCGCATGGAAACGCTGTTTACCTATTTATCTACTTGCACTTTGACAGGCTTTCGAACTGCTAGGTTGGCAGGAGCTGGGAACGAGCAATGGGAGCTCACCCCGTCGCGGGGATTCGAACCGCCGACCTTCTGATCAGCAAGTCCTAGGCGCTGTGGTTTAACCCACAGCACCACCCGCGTCCCTATACAATTCTATATAAAAGTGTATAAAAACCACACCAATAATTACAATACAAAGAGAAAGGTATTTGCCCTTCATTAAAAGCAGTCAGTTCCCCAAATCCTGTTGGAACAAGGAAGTTTTCCCTTTCAACAAAGAGGGAGCCCGTCGAGTTTTCTGGTGAGGGAATTGCACAGGCCGCACCGTTCGTCACTCTTGTATACCTGCCCTGAATGCCCAACATCCTGTGCCTGTTTTGCTGCAGGCTGGGGGTCTCACCTCTCTGCAGGATCACCCTCATATTCTTTCTGGGTCAGGATGTACCTTCCTCCTTGAAGGTCTGTGACAAGGTTACACAGGCATTGTACTCATGTGCAGCTGCCCATGCAATGAAGTGGGTGTTTGGGGCTTGATCAGTCTTCCTGATATTGTGGGCATATATGCGCACAGCAGAAATGTTTCAACAACAGAGGTACAAAAGATATCACCAATAAGCGTAATTAGACACACACACACACACACACACACACACACACACCCTTGCATTTCAGTTATACAATACAGTCAGAAACAGATAAATAACCCAGAACCATTTAACACATCCTCATCCGTTAAATTTTAGTCCAATTTTTAGCTACATGGACACAATTAGTTAATTGTAACAATGCGACAATTCAGAATTACTGAAAGGACATGTTCGTGCCTGCGACTGCAAGTAATAGAGCTAAATAATCGTAATCTTTCTATCACCAGGAGCTTTTGTTGTTGCTTTTCCCTTCAGTCCTGCTAATCCACAGCTTAACACAGAATGTGAGGCAATGGTCCTTTGGCTGAATTAATGTCTAAACACCGCTAGCCTGGAAGATGCATAACACTGTTCCTTTCACATCCCCAACCTTGAAAACACAAATGGCTGGTAAGTAAATAAGGTGAAAGGTAAAAGTAAAGGGCCTTCCTGCCGCTGTGGTACCTGTTTATCTACTCGCGCTGGTATGCTTCTGAACTGCTAGGCTGGCAGGAACTGGGACAGGGAGCTCACCCTGTCGCACAGATTCAAACTGCCAACCTTATGATCAGCAAGCCCAAGAGGCTCAGTGGCTACCCATGTCCCTTTCAGTAAGTAAATATATAAAGTGAAAAGGTCTACTCACCTAGATAAAAAATATGCCAGTGCTTAACTTTCCAATGTCAACCCCACGGTCTAGAATGACTCTGCAAAACGGGAGCTTTTCATTTACCGCAACTGACCCAACCCAAGTTCCCTAGAACATGCGTACAGATGCCGGACAATCTCATAAAACGAAAACAAAATAACAAGGAGGAGTGCAGACTTAGAAATGACTAGAAGCTGGGGTTGCCTACTCTCAAAATAAAATGCACTAGTATCTTGGCTGGGCCTGGAGCAGAGTTCAGGGCAGTCTAGCAGTGGTGCTGAAATAGTGCACAGTGTTTTCAAGCTAATCTGCAAAGGTGGTGGCAGCCCAACTTAAAAGTTGCATATTAGCCTAAGATGTGGCACTTCAGTAAGTTTTTAATGTCTCAAAGGCAATGAGATCTGACAGGCCTTTAAGAATTGTGGTTGTAAGGAAACTGAAATAGAGCACATGCCTTTATTTTAGGAATTGAGACTGAACAGGGATATGTTAGGTGTAGGATTTTTCATTTAAAAATCAAAAGCAAGTGGAAATTGTCTTATTTGAAGATACAGAAACTCTTTACCATATCAATCAAGCCATATGCCACAGAGTAACCAACATAAGGTCTGAGAAGGTAAGAAGATCTGAACCTTCTAGTTCCTGAGAAACTTTCATTAAAAATGGAGAATAAATTCAGTTTAAATGAAGTAAATACCTTCTCCTTACATAGTTTTGAGGGCACCATTATGGATGAAGGCATACCTACTCCAGCAATTTTCACTCCACTCCATTTCAGACTGCCTGTTTTCATTCCTCAGTGGCAAGAATTCAATAGTTTTATACAATAGGTAACTATGGTTAGAAACCATTTTAAAGATATAGTAGTAGTAGTAGTAGTAATAATAATAATTTATTTATACCCCGCCCATCTGGTTTCCCCAGCCACTCTGGGCAGCTTCCAACAAAATATTAAAATATAATAGTCCATCAAACATTAAAAGCTTCCCTAAACAGGGAGATACCCAAGAGTAAGGTCCACTGAACTCAAAGAGGCTTGCCTCTGTACAGACATGCACAAGAATGCATTATAAATATATTAATTATGGGTGTCATTCAAAGACGTTTACGCAAACGCACAACAGATTTGTGCTCATGCAATGGGACCGTTCCTTCTTCTCCTTCCCCTGTAGTTCCCCAGGCCGCTAAAATCCGCTGCAGGGGAAAGGAGACCCAAAATTGATACTTACCCCATATAATAACTGTGTACACCAAAGGAACAAATACTAGCATTTTTCCACCTCAAAGTGTGACTTTATCCTAGATTGATAGCATTACTGTAATTACTGTGAGGTAAAAAAAAATAGCCACAATGAACACTGAACAAATACAGTGTTGGGTTTTTTTTATCCAAGAACAGTCCTCAGCACTTGATGCAATCTTCCTACCCACTAATGAAATCTATTTGCCTATTTTCTCTACTGAAATTAGAATCATGGTGCCCTGCCTAGTTTACTCCAACTTTGTAGAATAACACTTGACATACCTTTTTTTTTTAATCTTGGAAAACCTATGGTGATTATAGACCCACAGGAAAATATATTACACAGATGGCTTCCTATTCAGTAAATCATCCTTTTCTGGAGAGGAAATTAACCTTGGATATGTGCTGATGCATTCTACAATTCACATTTTCCTCTTTGCAGCATTGATAAGGCACAATTGATTTTTTTTTAAAGGAATGTTACATTTAACATTGCAAGAGAGAACACTGATGGCCTAAAGAAAGGATGTACATCTAACCAAACAAATGAAAACGCCTGTTAAAGGACAGCTAAAGATCAGGCATCGTTTGTAAAGAGAGCTAAGAGGTACACCTTCTTTCTCATATAAGTTTATAGCATTAGCCGTCTGAATTATGGTTTGCATTGCTTCCTATTACTTTTCAGCGTAACTGAAGATAAACCAAAAAGTAATAGCTTGAGGGGGGGCGGGGGCCTTATTTATACTAAACTCAAAGCTTTGGGAAGACTGTGTGTGGTCAGACACGGGGCGGGGGGGAGTGTTGGGACTTTGGAAGTGACCTACAGCTTCTTCTTCTAGAAAACCAGTAGTGAGATATGTCAGTGAAAATGACTGTTATTTTTAAGAGTTGTGGTAGAAGGATCCCTTCTAAAAATCACGGTCTAAAATATTCACTCCCTCCTCCTAGTCTGTGCTTGTAAATCTCCAGACCCAGATGCAAAATCATAGAATATATATTTTATTGCAGCATTTGGTTTCTTGATGGATAATATCATCAATTGTTTTGGCAGCTTCAAAACTGCCTCTAGGTAAGATACATGGTTAAGCAGGCAATGGTTTGCTATACAGCTTGCTATGTGGCTTATGGATTTTATAAGGTATCAGAGACTGCATTCATATCACATCCTAGAACTTTCCCATACCAGTTCCGTCCCTAGGGCAAAATCATGGCCAGCTTCCATGGTCCCATGCTTCCTCGGTCCTGTATACCTGAAGGAGTGTCTCCACCCCCATCGTTCAGCCCAGACACTGAGATCCAGCGCCGAGGGCCTTCTGGCGGTTCCCTCATTGCGAGAAGCAAAGCTACAGGGAACCAGGCAGAGGGCCTTCTCGGTAGTGGCGCCCGTCCTATGGAACGCCCTCCCATCAGATGTCAAAGAGATAAATAATTACCTGACATTCAGAAGACATCTTAAGGCAGCCCTGTTCAGGGACGTTTTTAATATGTAACGCTGTACTGTTTTTAACACTGATTGGGAGCCGCCCAGAGTGGCTGGGGAAACTCAGCCAGATGGGCGGGGTATAAATAATTTATTATTATTATTATTATTATTATTATTATTATTATTATTATTAAAGACCTCACATAGTCACACACTCACAAACACACAGTTTCATATGGTTTTGCCACTGCTAACATGGCACTGGCACTCTCTCCCTTCCTCTGGGCTATCTCACCCAGAATGCCTTGCTCTCATGAGGACAGGTCAAAGGGAAAGGCGAGTGGCAGAACAATTT